ATACAAACCAGGCCAATTTAGTGTCTTTGTCTAACATTTGACCATATTTTGAATGTTACAGCATAAGCCTGTCCAGCAGCTATATAACTAAAATGAATAAATCAGAAAAATTTAACACATAGACTGATAATATATAAAATTTATTTCCTTTTTTTCCTGTATATTACTCGATCATCAGTGTGGTTTATGTAAATGTCTATTTTAATGACTTTCTTATTGAATGATTTAACACAGTGATGTTAAATCATTGCGCCTGCAATGTCCATGCTGTGTGTCTGTCAGCACATCGGACATTTGTGCGCTGCAGTCATGCCGGCTCTGTGTGTGACTGTGTGTCAGGTGATTGTCCATGAGGTGCCTGGTCAGGAGTTGGAGGTGGAGGTGTATGACAAAGACCCAGACCAGGATGATTTCCTGGGGAGGTACTTGTCCCCTGTCTCCCATCTCTCATCACCACCACCTGGTTGTCACCATCATCACCACAGAAACACAGGACAATGGAACTTGTCTCCGCTTTTTCCCGCCCTTTGTTTTGATCCCCTCTCCTGTGGTTGTCCGCAGGGTGACGGTAGACCTTGGCATGGTGAAGCAGGCGCATGTTCTGGATGAGGTGCGTTTGGAATTACGCCTTTGGGTCGTGGCCCATGAAACAATTAGCAGATTTTAATGTTCTTAATCCTGTAGATAGGATCTTATTTATTTAAAATTATATTATTGTTATTATTCAGATGCCATCAAGTGGACGGTTGTATTTCAGGTTCTAAGTCCATACTGGCCGACTGTATATCTTCTCCCCCTTTCTGTCTCTGGCGTTACAGACCAGGAATCTTGTTTGGATGTTTGGTACCACTTTACTATAAGGCTCCCTTTTAACACTTGATAGTAACTCATTAATAAAAAGAAAACATGCATGTTTAAAATTGTCTATTAATAATTTACAATGTGTTACAACCTAACTAATAAGCAGATTATAAACCATTCATAAACCCTTTATATGGGGAGCCTTACCATTGCCGGATGTTTTGTCGATTTAAGCCTGATCTTGACGTTTCTTGATCATTTGCATCAGTTATTGGGACATAAATCAAACGGCGCCGTATAAAAAACGCACTAAAAATGAAAATGCTGTTTATATGTAAGGTATTGCTGTAATTATGCATGCTTTTAAAAGCTCCCCCTTCTCTTCCATTACAGTGGTTCCCACTGAAGGACATTGATACAGGGCGTCTCCATCTGAAAATGGAATGGCTCTCACTGCTGCCCTCTAGTGACAAGCTGGAGCAGGTTAGCCTCTTCAGTGCGACGTCGGGTCGCCTCTGCTGCTGCGTTACACTGTTCCTGCCGCCACATCTCCTTGTTCTTGTTTCAGGTGATTGAGAGGAATAAGACAGTAGCTGTGAAAGCAAGCAGCCGTCCCTCAGCTGCCATCCTGGCTGTGTACTTGGACCGCGCTGAGGAACTTCCTGTGAGTCATATACCTGCTTCCTGTTTCCATGGGACCCAGTCACTTCCTGTGGGTGCAGGGTCGGCTTTGGCCACTGCGCACAATAACAGCCCCATCCTCACTTTTGGGTGTGGTTTTTTGTGGGCATGTTGAAACCAATCCCGGGCCAAGTGAACCCATATGGCTGTAAACTCCTCCCTCAAGAAGTCAGTGATCTTCAGCTGCTTCTACTCGCATGCTCCTGCCAGTGGTCACGTTGCCATGGGATCTGGCTGTTATCTGGACCGCAGGGAGGGGAACAATGGGGCAGAAACAGCTGCACACGCCCTCAGCCATGCTTCAGATGCTTGGAATTGCTGTCCTCCTTTTAGCCTTTGCTGTGTTGCTTACTGTTTTTCTGTTGGAAAAATGCATTGCAGATGAAGAAGGGCAACAAAGAGCCCAGCCCCTTGGTGCAGCTGTCTGTGCAGGGTGTCACTCGGGAGAGCAGGGTGAGTCGCATTGGTTGGGTTATTTATGGTCTTTCATTCTGTACACACAGTGCTATCAGATACAGCGGTCTGCGCTTTTCAGTCACTGTCGTTCATCTTGTCAGATGTGCGCTGAGACCACAGACCCCGTGTGGGAGGACGCCTTCACCTTTTTCCTTCACGTCCCCAACCAGCAGAACATCGTCATCCAGGTATCACACCCAGATACTGTGAAGTCACCTGCTTCCCAGTTACTTTCTGTGTGATTGATCAAGCAGCCAAATTTTGAGAGATCGATGTATTGATATTCGCAAATTTCATGTTGCTTGTTCTCATTGTCCTACTGCTGTCTTCAGCGAACGTGCTGTCCAGTTTTCTGGGTAGTATCCCAACACACCTCGCCGATCTTGTCTTTCTTGTAAGCCCCTCTGATGTCTGTCCACAGGTGAAGGACAGTGACCGGGTCCAGTTGCTCGGCAGCCTGTCCATCCCGCTCTCTCGCCTGCTGGCCAACCATGACCTTTCTGTGGATGACTGGTTTCCATTGGCTGATGCCAAGCCTACTAGTCGCATCTCTCTTCGGGCCGTCCTAAGGGTGAGGCCACTTCCACGTTATGCTCTAGATCAGGGGTGGAGATCTTGATCCATGGAAGGCCGGTGTGGGCGCGGGTTTTTGGGATGACCTCTCAATCAGCCAGTAATAAAGCAGTGGTTCTCAACTCCAGTCCTGGGGACCCACTGTGATTGGCTGATTGAGAGGTCATTCCTAAAAATCCGCACTCACACCGGCCCTCCACGGAACAGGTTCCCCACCCCTGGTCTAGATCCATAGCGAGGTTCCTTAATGAATGAGAGATCAGTCCTGCAGTCCTTGATGGACACAAGTGGTTTTGAATGTCCTGGATCTCTGCCAATGGGCCATACTAACAATGGCTCTTTCTTTCATCCACTCGCCATTGTCTCAGTTATCAGGAGTCTCCAAATGCCACCCTCTTCCGTTTCCCAGGTGCTCTGGCTGGACGAGGAAGCTGCCCTCCGTGCGCCGAAGCTCTGGCTCTCCGGTCCCCCTTCTGAGGGCGTGGCCACGGAAAGACCCCAGCACACGACCCCTAGTGACAGCTTTGCTACCGAGGTAAGCGGCAGGCCGCAGGTGTGTGCAGTCTGTTCCACGATGGTCTGCGGTCCGCAGTACTGCCTCACTCAGATGCTGCACTTTCCATCCTCTAGGGGGTGCTGCGGATTCATCTGGTGGAGGCGCGGAATCTGATCGCCAAGGATAATCTCATGGGCGGCATAGTGAAGGGGAAGAGCGATCCCTATGTGAAGACGCGTGTCGGGGGAAAGACCTTCCGGAGTCATGTGGTCAACAAGAATCTGAACCCCACCTGGAACGAGCTGTATGAGGTACGGCCTGTCCGGCCCACCTGCCCAGGGTACACTGCACACCCATTGCTGTTAAGAATGAGCTGAGGACACGGTCAGGACCCATTTGCTGTCTTTCCAGGTGATTCTGACCCGAGTGCCGGGGCAGGAGGTCCAGTTTGACTTGTACGATGATGATGTTGGCACGGATGAATTCCTGGGGAGGTGGGTGAGCATTTTAATTTAGGTATATTGTGTTTTGGTTATGGACAGCCTGGTTAATCATAACGTCCTTCTGTGTGGGCAGGTTTAAGGTCGGCTTGAGTGACGTTATCCGCTCACAGCATGTCGACCAGGTGAGGGTGTGTCAGAAGGTGCTGTGATGGGATCCATACATACTCAGTGCAGTTTTTGTGGAGTTTTGTTTGACACAGTATGGAGGATTGCCTTACTGATGACTCATTGCGTGTCTTTTCCTGTGGGGGTCTGCTTCAGTGGTACACATTGAATGATGTGAAATCCGGCAGCGTCCACCTGGTCCTGGACTGGATGCCTACTGTTGTGGATCCTTCCCGGCTGGATGAGGTCAGACTAAGCTAAGCTCTCCATAATCCTTTATCTGCAATTGTTTGATGAGAGGAGACCGAACTGCACGCTCTGTGAATTTACCAAACCCTCAGGTCCTGAAGCTCCAAGCCCAGAAATCGTACCAGAACAAGGCCGTGCCCTCTGCCGCCCTGCTCTTTGTGTACGCGGAGCGCGCCCACGCCCTGCCTGTAGGTACACCTTTCCCGAGTTCCCAGAATTCCCAAAGTTTGTTGTCTGCTTTTTGTCTGATTTCTTTAGCTTTGATGAGTCAGATATATTTGTGTAGGTATGTGATTATATACAGTAAGTATGAGATCTAACCAGCTAGCATTGTACAGTAAATATTAGGCAACTACAGTTTAATTGTGGTTTGCCTTTAAGAGAAACATGGTATTTTTTTCTGCAAGGTGTTTCGGGTGTCTGTGGAATACAAGTACGGACATGCTTTGAAATATATACCACTTGTTAATTCCTTTTTTTAAAATGACCATTCACACCTGCTACTGTCGCTGGTAATTAAAATATTGAGGGTTAATTTTGAAGGCAATCTGAAGTAACTGGCGTCGAATTGATATGAAGAAGATGAAAATTTTAATTTTATTGGGTAACATTTTGGGGCTGCGGGGAGGGGCAGGGATGGGCAAGGACAAAAACACATAGGCAAAGGCTGGTGGCCGAGCAGGAGCACCTGAAAGATGGAATTTAGTTGGAGAAAGAAGGAAATGGGGAAAGGGCAGTCGGGGAATCCCGGGTCGGATTGCTGGTGTTTATATTCCAAGATGGATCCTGCTAGACTCAGGAGGTGAAGGTTAAGAGAGTGGGAAGTGAGGAGGAGGTGAGCGGGAGGTGGGGTGTGAGGGGGAGGTGAAGGTTACGAGAGAGGGAGATGAGGGGGGGTGAGGGGGAACTGAGAGGGAGGTGAGGGTTACGTGAGAGGGAGGAGAGAGGAGAAGGGTCCAGCTGCAGACGCCTGTAGAGTGGAGCTCCACCGGAAATACGCCACCTCCACAGGAAACACGTGGCCTCAACTCTGTGTCACAGCGAATAAACCCTAACCCTAAACCTTACCCTAACCCTCTTGTTCTCTCTTGGCGAAACCTAACCGGAGCTCCACTTTACGTCCTTAAAGATCACGTGTTTCCTGTGGAGGTGACGTATTTCCGGTGGAGCTCCACTCTACAGGCGTCTGCAGCTGTACCCTCTTGGGAGAGAGGGATGTGAGGGGGAAGTGAGAGGGAGGTGGGGGGTGAGGGGGAAGTGAGAGGGAGCAGACGAGTCAGGGGACAAGGGGTGAGCTTCAGTTGCTCCATGAGTCGCTGGCTGTGACTCTTTGGGAAACGATCTTCTTCACGGGAGCCTGGCTACCAGGACTATGGCAGCACCTGGGCTGGTATCTCAATCCCAACCCCATATCTTTGGGATTTGGACCCTTGCACACCATCTGCTCCAAACACCTGTCTGAAATCCCGACAGGTAGCCACTGGCCAGGGTGCTGCAGCGAGCCCATGACCACCTGTCCTGTCTGTGTCGCTGCATCCCAGTAACACTGCTGTGACACTGAAATTGGGCCTCTCTGACTTCCAGAATTAGGTAACTGTACCTTCAGAAAACAGAAACATTGTAGAATATCGTTATTTACTCAACAATACGTTCCAGAAACGTACACCCTTAGGAATTAGGAGATTGATTAGCAGTCAGATGCTTTTCCCATCATCTTTCCTGGCTGATCATCAGGAAGTGTGATCGTCTCTAACTGTGGAGTGTACAGGTTTGTCTTTGCATCAGCAATGATTGCAGATTTTTTTTTCTGCTCATCAGGCTGGGCCATTTCCTAACAGTTAGACAGCCATCATTCTGCAGCCAGAAGGATTACTCACAAATTGAGAATATTCAATACAGCAATTAAATATTAGAGTTCATGACATTGTGATGAAAAACAAACCTGACTTATGGATGTGTGGTCAGGAAAAAGCCTCCTCTCCAAAAAGATCATGGCAGCACGGCTAAGATTTGCAAAGATGCATCAGAAGGGATTTCAAGATTTCTGGAACAATGACAATGAATCACCACAACGGTGAATCAGGACAAACGGCGCATAGCAGCCAGCCGGCGCGGTGGAGGAGGGGCGATGCTTTGGATTGTTTTGCAGCGAAGGCACTTGGCCTCCTTGTAGCCATAAAGTCGACCTTGAGCTCCTTTTTTACAGCCTCTGCGTGGTTTCTGTGCTTAATGTTAACAGTGTCGTTGGAATTAGCCTATTATACCATCATTTGAGGGCTTCTGAGAAAAACTGAATTTAATGTAACAATTAGCAGATCTACTGGATCGGTGAAAACAGTTTTGAAAAAGTCCAAGATAAACCCTCAGCCTCACTGAGATCCTGTTTGGTATCATTTCTCTGTAACGTTACTGCCTTTGTACCTGATATATGATATGACAGACCTCAAAAGTCTGATTTCCGGCCCTATCTGCAGTTTGCTCTCGCTTCCTGTTGTGCCAGCAAACATCTGAGCTGTGTCAGTGTGTCAGACTAACTGCATTGTTGGTATTGCTCCATCTTGTGGGCTGTTCTGAGACAGAGGAAAAGGACAGAATGCAGGTGTCACTTGAGCAGGAAGATGCACTGAACACATGAACACAGACTGTGCAGACAGGAGTGTGGGAGTGTGACTCCACGTCACGCTCACTGACTTTCAGAAAATATCAGAATCACGTCGGCATGTTTACGGGATTGGTCCCGTTTCAGTGCAGGAAATGGGATTCATAAAGTATAAGACCTATCATCAGTTAAATGACCATAAATTATTCCTGCACAAAAAAAAAACATTACAAGAAAAGTGAAGTGCGAGTGATGGCTTCTGTTTCTCTGGAGGATCTCCGTAGACGCATAGGTAGGCCTCCCCACAACATCCAGTGAGCATCTGACAGGTTAACAGTGGGACCTTGGGATTGGGGGGCAACTGATGCTGGCACTATGTTGATACTGTTGTGTGGCCCCCTCCGCTCATTGTTTTGCTTGCCCTTCTTCTGCATCTTGTGAGCAGTTAAAGAAGAGTGGAAAGGAGCCAATGGCGGGTGTGGAGCTCATCCTGGGAGGAGTGTCCTACAAGACCAAGGTATGTCCCTTGTGTTTTTTGACTCTGCCCTCAAGTTTGGCAAACAGGTTAATGTGGTTGTCAAATCCAGTTTCGTCCAGCTTAGAACCATCTCAGAACTTACACTGTTCCTCTCTTCAAGTGACCTTGAAATAGTCACACATACATTCATCTTCTCAAGGCTTGATTACCTCAGCTACCTGTATACTGGAATTAACCAGTTTTTCCTGGCCCACTGTCAGCTTGTTCAGGACGATGCAGCGAGGCTTCTCACAAGCTAGAAGGGATGACATAATTCCTGTCCTTACCCAGACTGCCGCAGTCCACCTTAGGATTGATTTTAGGATCTTCCTGTTTGTCTATAAAGCCTCCAGTGGCTTAGCTCTCTTGTATTTGTCCCTACATAACCTCCAAGCTTCTTGGGTCATCGGAAATTCTGATAATCCCTCGCTTCAAACGGAAGCTCAAAGGTGACCGTGTGTTCTCAGTCACAGCACCCAGATTGCGGAACAGTGTCCCCCTGGCCAGCAGATCAGCTCCCTCTGCTCATTTTTTAAAATCCCGTCTTAAAACACTTTTCCATTCTCCAGCGTTTAAGTCAGATTAATTCCTTTCTTATACTCCTTTTCTCAATTTTTATTTATTACTGTTATTGTCATAATTTTTTTCCCTCTTTCCTTTCTTTTTGGTGATCCTCTCAACACTTTGGTCAACAAATGTTGTTTTTAATTCTGCTTTATAAATAAATGTGACTTTTGACTTTGACTTCTGCTGCTGTGGTCACTGGCCTCTGACTGTGCGAATAATACATCACTGTTTTCATTCAACATTAGTGGTGTGAAATTACTCTATTCAAAACAGGATTTAATTTCAGGGCGCTATATTACTGCTGTCATTTTCAAATTAAGTCGTGTGATTGAAATCCAGAATTTCTATTGCATCTATTTTGAGTTTGCATTGCATTTTAAAAAGATGTAATTCTTTATTAAACATGATATGCTCCCATTTAATTTATTCAGCACTTTGAACCTTCATTACAGACCATGAAATGATGTCCTATTGCATGTAAGACAATTTTCTCAAGTGACCTCTATTCATCTGCTTTTCATCTTAAGGTGTGTGATCGTTCCACCTCTCCTAAGTGGAGTGAGTCATTCTCCTTTCTTGTACGTGATCCCGCAGAGGATATCCTCACAGTGAAGGTAAGGCACCTTCTCACTCTTTTTTGATGTCTATATGAAAACCGGTTTCTGGTCTTGATAGACCCACCTTAGTTACATGCAGATATTTGTGTTGTCAGCTTAAAGTTATATGGCCAACTCTGAGGAAACAGGGTGCAGTGACACTTGTGATATCAACAGTTTATTGACTATCAGCAAACTCAAATTAAATACAGTGGTGTGAAATTTAACACACTGCATTTTCACTTACTGATGGTATTGCAAATTAGCATTTCTCTCCAACATCTGTCTTTAAAGTGTAGATAATTTCTCTGTTTTCCTGTTGGTGGCTTATTGGACAGATGTTAAGGGAGCGTTTCGTGGCCCCCAAACTATGGAACTCTGTTCCACACTATGTTGCTTCTCTTCCATCACATCTGAACTAAAGTAATTTCTCTTCCATGAACATCTCTCTATTGTCTTCCTCCTTTACTAATTACTGACCCCCCCCCCAACCTTGGGATCGTGAAAGGTGCTATATAAATGTAACATTATTATTATTATTATTATTATTATTATTATTTATTGTTATTGTTATTATTTACCCAATGGAATATCTATGTCGCTTTTCTCTCTCCATTCTACATATTCATTCTATTCCACCGCCAAACAACCTAATTAAAATAATTGATTGGGTGTGGTGTGCTGAAAGTGGAATATAATGGTAACGCAGGCTGGAGGTCAGGAGGACCTGATGTAAAGCAGCTGATGCGTGTGACGGCTTCACAGTGTGTGATATACGCAACTGGGAATTTGTACTGGGTCTAGGATCTCCACCTTGATGAAAGAGCCACAGCAGCTTTGGTTTCTTGGAATGTGAACTGGTGATCTTCCGGCCCTGCTCTGGGTCACATACCTACAGTAAAATTATATCTCTGTATGGTGGAATAGTAATGAATGTCTTCCTCTTGGAACAGCTTTCTCATAGCTGGGGCCTGGCTCTCGGCTCGCTCTTCCTGCGAGTCAAAGACCTGCTGTCGGTACCGGGCCTGGTGCTGGACAACTGGCTGAGTATCGATGGGGCCTCAGCTGACAGTGAGATTCTACTGAGGGCTGAACTGAAGGTGAGAATTTGGCTTCACGTAGCTACATGCAAGCGATCCCCTATGTGCAAAAGCCTTTGGTTAGAAGGACTAGGAAGTTCCTGTTTTCTTTCATGGTTGTTGCAGACATTGTTACAAAGTAGGGAAAGTTTGCTGGCTCCTAGCTGGTTGGCACACAGAATGGACAAGGAAGGAACTGAACTCGAATACATTATTTCCTGGATGTAGGACATATGGGGATTAATTGTGCTTTGGTCAATGACATTATACAGACATAATGGAACAGCTTGTACAAACAAACAAGGCACCTTCACACTCCATGCATGGAATTTCTGATGAGCTGTGAAGTTGTGACCAGATTCTTATTGACATGCTGTCACACCCCCAGCTCCTGTGTTCCGGTGCCACAGACGGCAGTGGGGGGCAAGCAGATGTACCCAGCCTGCTGGATACCCTCAGCTCAAAGACTAAGAATGATGCCGTCGACCCAAACAAGGGGAGACTCCCCACAGCCAAAGAGGGGCTACAGCAGAAAGCAGGGGATTCTGGGTAACATATCATGCTGCTATGTCTCCATGGTAGGACAGTATTGGAGACGTAGGAAGACCCAGGTTCACTCATTCTTCTGTGTGCTTTTAGGCATAAAGGGACTGACTCTGTTAGTGCTGTGTCACCGCCCTCACTCTCCCCGACTGGGCCAGGGCATAAAGAAGAATTACCCGAGGACAGTGTGGGCAAACGACCCTACCAGACTACCCCCAACTCCAACTTTGCTACTGAGGTAAGACTGAAGATGGTGGAGGACGGGGAAGATGGTGGCGCAGGAGGTAGTGCTGTTGTTCGGCAACCGGAGGGTTGCAGGTTCCAGCCCTGGCTCCTTCTGACCCATCAAAGTGTCCTTCAGCAAGTCACTGAACCCCAAATTGCTCCTGGTGTGCGGATTGGCGCCTTTGCATGGCAGCCTTCGTCACCGGTGTATGAGTGTGAATGTGAAGCATGTATTGTAAAGCGCTTTGAGTACTCGTAGGAGTAGAAAAGTGCTATACAAATGCAGTCCATTTACCAAGATCAGTATTTACCAAATCAGTAATGTAATATGTATCTTGTTTAAACTCTACATACTATAAATGAGTACGGTTGATGTGCAGTAATGATGTTTGTCATGTAGGGGGTGCTACGCATTCACCTGGTAGAGGCCCAGAATCTGATTGCAAAGGATAACCACATGGGGGGCATGGTGAAGGGAAAGAGTGACCCTTATGTCAAGGTACATATCGGGACTGTGAAGTTCTGCAGTCATGTGATCAAGGAGAACCTGAATCCCATCTGGAATGAGCTGTATGAGGTACCACAGTTTATCACTCTCTGGTATTTTATATAAAATCACCAGCTTTATGCTGGTAGCTGTTAGAATGCGTTTTGAGGATTTTGGCTGTTGCTGTGTTGTGGTGTTCCAGGTGGTCCTGACCCAACAGGCAGAGCAGGAGGTGCAGTTTGAAGTGTATGATAAGGATGTGGGCACAGACGACTTCCTGGGGAGGTGAGTTTTCACGGTGATGATATTTGAATGATGCTTGTGTTTTTATATGGGTGTGCACCATTATTAAGCTTAAAGTTGGAAGAATATTATATCCAGAATAGATATAAGTGAAGATAATTTGTGTTTGCAGGTTCAATGTCAGCCTGAGTGACATCATCAGCTCCCAGTACATGGATGAGGTGAGGTCTGCCTTTGAACCTCGCTGTGAACCTTGTGTGTGTCGTGTGTGTGTGTGTGTGTGTGTGTGTGTATGTGTGTGTGTGTGTGTGTGTGTGTCTCGTTAACCTTTCTGCATGGCGTGATCCGATTCCAGTGGTACACTCTGAGTGACGTGAAGTCAGGCCATGTCCACCTGGTTCTGGAGTGGGTTCCTAAGGTTCAGGACCGGACCAGACTGGATCAGGTCAGTGGAAGCCTTGGTCCATCCACTATATACATGTCTGCTCTGCTCCTGTGGTGATACAGAGTGTAATTGCAGCCTGGAGCTGATGACAGGTGTGATGTCAGTATTCCGCATTCTGAGAGTGTGAATTTACTGAATCCCCAGGTCCTGCAGCTCCAGACCCAGAAGTCATACCAGAACAAGGCTGTGCCCACTGCTGCTCTGCTCTTTGTGTATGTGGAGCGCGCCCACGCCCTGCCTGTAAGTACCCCCCCTCCAGAGAGCCGGGTGTCACTGCATGTTATGCAGCTCAGTGCTCACAGTAAACAATAGTAAATTTCCCAATGGTTAGTATTACTTGTATTACTGTTTAAATTTTGAATTATCATTAAAACCGTGACTGATTACTACACTTTGGAAAATTCATGTAAAATACTGTCCACCATCAACCAAAGTTAGCAGCAGACAGAGTCAGACGCAGGCAGACAGAGTCAGACGCAGGCAGACAGAGTCAGACGCAGGCAGACAGAGTCAGTCGCAGGCAGACAGAGTCAGCATGTAACCTGGGTTTGTTTAGTGTCAGTGACACATGGTGGAAGGCAGTGACAGCACTCCAGAGATTTTTAATATTGATGCACATTTGATCTGGTTTTCATATGTTTACATAAAGTATTGGCTATGTTATTATTTTAATGTTTATGCAAATGAAAAGTACTTTCAGTATAATACTTGGTTGAATGATTTCAGTTTGTGATTCACTACTTTCTGAATATTTTCAGCACATTTTAACAATACCAAAATAACCATGAAATATCACTATAATCACTATAGCCACAAAAATCATGAAATAAAATTTTCATTCCGTTTCAGTCTAGTCTGTTGTATAATTGATTTATGGTGATTCTGAAAAATTAGTTGTTCTGATATGGGATGAATTATATCCATGTGAGAAACTAAAGGAAAGGATCACTATAGATGGGAATAGTCATTCATGTCTGTTCACTCGCTTCCTCCTGTCCAGATAAAGAAGAGCGGGAAGGAGCCAAAGGTGGGGGCCGAGATCATCTTCAGGGAAACTACCTACAAGACCAAGGTGAGATGGGGGCTCCTTCCCTCCAGTAGCCATGGTGACGAGCTGATATCAGAGTGACTGGATTCCCAGTAAATATGGCCTCAGTATGTATATAGATGCTGGTCCTGCTGGATTTACGTATGGAAGTGAATAGCATGGCGGTGGCCGTTCCTGTTCTCAGGTGTGCGATCGTTCTACTTCGCCCCAGTGGGATGAGGCCTTTCACTTTCTGGTTCCGGACCCCAAGGAGGACATCCTGAAAGTGAAGGTAAAACAGCTGAAGTGGCCTTCAGCAGTGTTTGTGCTGCATGCGTTACAGCGAACATCTCCAAGATCACGGAGGTGGCAAAGTAGAATCGTTCAATGAAGATCTGAATTATTTTCTCTCTTTTTTTTTGGCAGACAGAATGTTCTAATGATATTTATCTTAGAAATCCCTCAATTATTTATCCAAGTGAAATACTTCTGATTATGAGAATCGTAGTAGTAGTTCCCTTATGATACCATCCATCCATCCATCCATCCATCCATGCATTCATTCGTATTCCAACACACTATCCTGGTCAGGCTTGCAGGACTGAGGGTAACACAGATTCTGATTTTTTTTTTTCTACAGCAGGCTGTATTTTAATATCCAGTTTGGAGAATTATAAATGCTACTGTTACCAGAGGGCTTTGGGTTTATATGCACATTATATTTCAAACTCATCTTCTAAAAGAACCTTCTGTCAAGTTCTCATCCAGACAAACTGCTGTGTCATTAATGGCTAACATTTCCTGTGCTGGATTGATATGATCTGTACTGACAGGTCTCCATCTGGCTCTGTGTTACAGCTGTACCACACTGGGGATCAGCCCACTGGCTCGCTGGTTCTGCTTGTCAGAGAGCTGCTTTCAGAACCAGGCCTGGTACTGGACCGCTGGCTGAGTCTGGATGGAGTTCCTGCTGAGAGTCAGATACTGCTGAGGGCTGAGCTCAAGGTAAAGCTCAGTAATGGCACTTTAAGGCTCCCCATTATTACACACGTAAGATGAGGGTTCTGTGTTCTGTTTCCAGTACAGACTGTGCAGGTGCTTATTAGAACACTGTTATACTGCACACTGATTAAGGTCATCTTCACACGCAGAATGCTCACCATAAAATTTACAGAGATTGTGCCTTTAAGACCTGTCTTAAAATCTCCAGTAAAAATTATTGCATGTTCATGAGTGGAAGGGTCAAACAATAGTGCACTTTGAAGGAACCTTAATTTTGGTTTTTAAACCATCAGCTAATGTGATGAAGCTTATCGATGCCGCCAGGGCATCACTGCCGCGCACTAACGGTCTATGAGA